GCCTAACGGCTACACCCTCTAGACACCGTTACAGACGGTTGTAAGAGTGTTCATTTTGTTTGTTTGGGTAAAAAAAAAATCACATTGACACAATAATGGCCATTAAGTGCTGGGAAAGCGTAAGACAGACAGACGGAAACAACAGAGGGAAAAAAAGGAAGTATGAACTGCCAGTGGTGCTCTCCAACCAAACGCTTTTACGAGCGTTAATGTCACGAAACCTGCCCAACAAAGCTGATGCAAGGGAAATAATTCTTCCCGTGCTCCAACTCATCGTAATAAACAAAGTTATTGCCTCTCGTTTTAAAAAAGTAACTTTAAAAAAATAAAAAATTATATGTCAGAATACCTTAAACAAACGTTTGTGTCAGCGTTGGGGCATAAGAAGTTATTGGTATCATCTTAAAGCTCTTTTATTTGTCTTACTTTTGGTAAAAAAAAGTATCATCTTTCTTGAACTCATTTCGAAGTGCATATATTTGCGATTGAAGGAGGTGAAGGTCGCCTGGGGTCAGAGGTACTATTAGCGAGAAAATGGTCGCCAAAGGTTAACGACTACCAAAACTTGAGAGTTCCTGAAAAGCAAAAATGTACCTTGTGCCTTTGATCAACGCATTTCCGTAAAATCCATACAGAATTAGTTATTGGAATAGACATAAAAGGTGTTGATCAAAAAGGTCAATGAGGAGAATTGCATGCTCTATGTGAACCGGAATGACGTCAGAATGCACAGACTGTGTTATCTATTTTAATATATTTGGCAACTTGGAAATACATGTGCCACTTTTCCAATAAAACTACGACAGCTACAGAGTTGAAAGTTGGAAAGTACTTTCAAAAAGATAGATAGATCCCCATGATAAAGCGCGATTTTTGATTTATTAATTTCCTGAATTTAGATAAATGTATTTGACAAAAGGTGCCCGTCTTTCTTTGGCCTTTGAGATTATTCCACTTTGAAACAAAACAAATCTGTGCGGCAAGTTGTCCTTCACAGCGGAAGTGCCGGAAGTGATATTTCGCGAGATGCATTTTTTTGGAGAGTATACATCTAGACCTTCTAATTTTTTGCATCTTTCAAGATTTATTGCTACGTTCCAGTAGAGTGTGAATGTAGTAAACCAATGACTTTCAGTTAATGTTAATAGACCGAACATTCCTTTCACCGAAAGGGGGCCCAGCTTGTAATAATATAAGTCTCTGTTCTAAAAAAACCCCAACCCACTGGATTATTCTACAGGGGTCCGCTCTCGCTACCTCGGAATTCTATCTGACATTCTTGACCGTCTTGAGTTACTAAGACCATGAAGCAAGTGTTCTATCTGATATTTGTGTGCCAGCGTGGTGGAATCAGGCTCTCGTCAAAATAATCAAAATGAAGAAACTTGCATTTTTCTGCAGGTTTGTGAATTTTTATCGAATTTTTGTTTTTTGGCTCAACACCTTTCATGCCCATTAAAGAACTAATTTCTGTGTGAATTTTTCTGAAAAACGTTGATTAAAGGCACAAAAAATGTAAATTTTTAGTTACCACGGACTCTTAAGCTAGGGAAATAACTAATCTTTGGCTGCCATTTTCTCTCTAATTTTACCTCTGAAAACAGGTGACCCCCATCTCCTTCTTTCGCAAAAATCTGAACTTGTATTCAAGATAGAGGGATATTTTTTTCATCTAAATAAACACAAGTGGACAAGCTTTAAGGTGATACCAATAACTCAACATGGCCAAAAATTGACGAGAGCCTGATTCCACCACGCTGCGTCACATTTTTTTTCGTTTTAAGTTACTAAGACCCTGAGGTTAGAAAACTAATTTATCAAAATAGTCAGATTATTCGGACTCGTCATCAAGATATTCAAAGAAGTGCGTTTTGAAAAAGCTTGACGTGTGAATCTCAATTTTGAGGCAGCGTGGTAGAATCATGCTCTCGTCAATATCATGCTCTCGTCAATTTTTGAGCATGTAGAGTTATTGGTATCATCTTAAAGCTTGTTCACTTGTCTTTATTTGAATGAAAAAAATCCATTTATCTTGAATACAAGTCGAGATATTTGCGAAAGAAGGAGGTGGGGGTCAACTGCTTTCAGAGGTAAAATTAGTTAGAAAATGGCGCCAAAGATAATAATTTCCTTAGCTTAAGAGTACGAGATAACTGATAAATCAACGCTTTTCAGAAAAAAAGCCACACAGAAATGAGTTCTTTAATGGACATGAAAGGTGCTGAGCCAAAAAACAAAAATTTGATAAAAATTCACAAACCTGCGGAAAAATGCAAGTTTCTTCATTTTGATTATTTTGACGAGAGCCTGGTTCCACCACATTGCCTCACAATTTTGTTTCACGTCGAGTGTCTCAAAACTAGGAACAAAGCAGACAGAACTCTGTTCTTCTAGCGAAGCGGAACGTCGATACAGTTACTCTGTGGGGAACCGGAGTTACGTCACAGTGCATAGTCTTTGTTATTTTACTGCAAGTCTGTGGAACAGAATATGCCACTCGTCTAGTGGTTACGCTACCGGACTCGTAATCGTGAGGATGCGGGTTCGGGGGTTCGAGCCGCGGGCCCGACTTTGTGTCCTTGGGAAAGGCACTTTACGCAAATTTTCCTCACTTCACCCAGGTGGGAATGGGTACCCGATCATAGACAGTGAAAGATTTTGTCAGAATGTTAGTGTTTTAGCGCCTATAAATAGCAGCTTGCATTATGTGCTTGCCAGGAAGTTGAGATTTTTTCAGAATGCTCTCAGGTCTTCTGGGGTAATGGTATAGATTGTGCAGCGCCTAGAGCTTGCTGATGAGCTACCTGTCTATTATTATCTATTATATTTCTTCCACACATTTTTATGTTCCACTGTCGTCTGCTCTTGTTAACTTACTGGCGTCCTGTCTATGTACGAGAAATGTGGAAACCACGGCTACAGTAAGGTCTCATGAGTGTTCATAGATACGACATTTTCTAAACTGAAGCAACCCGGTCTTCAACTTTCGTTACCTCAGAACTACAAAGTTCTATCTGACATTTTTGGCCGTTTTATGTTACTAAGATAATAAGGTCAGAAAGCAAAATATTATGCTTTCTGCTCGATCGATATCGTACGAATATTCGGATTTGTTATCAAGATGTTCTAAGAATTGTATTCGAAAAAGCTTGACATTATATTGTGAAACTCAAATTTTTACGTCAGCTTTCTCAAAACAAGGTATTGAGCGGATTAACTTTGTAATTCTCAGGTAGTGTTATGGCAAAGGAAGAAATAATTCCAACCCACATCCTTGGTTTGAGAAAAAACATATATAACAAGATCTATTCTATGGCGTAATTTAGTATTTCCAAGTTTTTTGTACTGTCTACACCAGTCTCCCCCCAGTCATTATTTCGAGAACCGTCCAATAGAGACAAAAAAAATTTAAAAATTGCCTTTTCCTAGTTGAATTCAGAGAAGACATAATATTAACGAGTCGATTGCTCGACATCCATTTCTGATTTCTTCATAATATGGGCGAGATGTTCAATACTTTATGACCTTATTCAAGGAGAGATCATCAGTAAATAGCCTTCGTATTATCGGTTTGCTCGCCTCCAATTCAACAGTATCCGTGTAATTTAGAACCTAACCTCGCAGAGAACCAGAGAGCTAATCAGTAGAAGGCATTGACCAATTGTATCGGTAAAGAGCATGCGGGGCAGTGCAAACGCTCCCTCTCTCTCTCTCTCTCTCTCTCTCTCTCTCTC